AATGGTAAATGATGATCCACATCCCCTGTCAGCGTCTGAATCGCCAGTTCGATTGAAACGTATAAATGAATTGTGGTACGTAAGCGTTTGTGTGGGGGGGCGGCGCTCTCAATTCCGGAGCTATTTAACACGTCAAAACATGTATCTTACGACATTCTACCAGATAAGGACACACACTATGGCCATCGAAGGTTCTCAGTGGGACAATGAAGATAGACTTCACCTACAGGGCACACGCTGCGGGCGTTGGTGAAAATTCGCGCTGAATAGAGCCTCCTTCAAAATTTCCTCAGGAAGACCCTCTTCTCAGATCCCTCACCCTACCTTCCATCTTCCTAGTATTTCCCATCTTCCCACCTTTTTCCGGAGTCTTCTTTCCCAGGGAACTCTGTTTTTTTCTTGGAAAAAAACAATCATCTAGAGTGGATGGAGGGGTGATAGAGCACATTATTTGTTTGGGGAAACTTGATGGAGTCCATACTCCTCCCCCGCCCCCTGAAAAAGGTGAGTACACGCCTTCCCTAGTTCCCCGCCCCACAACTGGGGAACCATTTCGTCTCAAAGTACAATTACGACCCTCCCCTTTCAGCGGACCAAATACGGCCTCCTCTCGCAGGGGATCCCAACTTACATGGTGCCCTTGTCACCACGTACCAAGGTCTTTTTCCGATGCGTAGAGTGAAGGTTCTTAACTCTCATGCTATAAAATAAACAGGCCACTCACATACGGCCCCTTTCGCAGGGGATCCCCACTTAACTTCCTACGCTGAGGAGTCCTCAACGAGAGGTGGGGGGAGTGGTATTTCAGTTCCGCGTGGGAGTTTCATTGAGCAATCCTTCTTCACGCCGCCACTGCACGCCCCATGTAAGGAAAAACGTCACCAAATGTAACCCAGTGACCTGTTCTACCGCACGTAAGACAAGCTAAGCACATGAGCTTTTTGCCTTCCGCCCACATCGAGATGGGTGTAATTTCTGCACGAAAACACTCATAGAACTAGCCAGCACGCTAACAACGCGCTGGTCAACGCGCCAAATAGTTGCCGCTTTTTGTACGCCGGCGATTTGCGTCGAGCTTGGTGCGAGAAGCCACCAATGGAATGCGTTGCCCAGGAAAAAAAATTGTCGAACAATCCAAAGCAATCGTCAAACTTGTAAAAGCTAATAGATGTCCAATTCTAGCTTCTCGACTTTGTTTGACCAGGTTTTTTTGGAAACAAGAACCTGCAACTGGATACGTTCCGTTTTTCCAGCTTCATCCTACCTCTGTTGGGAACGGTTTTCTGCAATTGCAGACTGAACACCTTGGAACGCCGTGATCAAAAAGAACCTAACAAAGGTCAAAATGTCAGTGTTCATTAATGGTAGACCGAAACCAGAGCATGACTAGGATGAAGCAGCGTATTATTATTGGTTCATTTTTTGCTGTTCTACATCATCATATTGCTGAATAGCATTGTTTATTATTTACTACCAGAACGTAAGTCAGTTGACAGACTCTGCCCTTTGTATTGGATGCGCCATGTGTTCGGCTTCTGTGCTGTGATTTCTACTGTGGTGATTTCAGAGTGCGATTTGACCAGTGCATGCCCTGCCGCTGGGGAAAATTTCTGCAATAAAATGAAGCCCTCAAACTTTCCTCCTCTGTTACGACTCCCCCCCCCTCCTCCCAATTCACCAACTTACCTACCACCCTCTCCTACCACCTTTCACTTATCCGGAGTTATTTTCTAAACTCCTCCAGTTTTTCTCCAAAGAAGTATCGTAGAGCAGGAGACGGCCAAGAAAATCTAATTTGTAACTATAATACGCCGCGCGCGGCAATGGGTGGGTTCGGCGTTTCCTTAAGTTGCACCAGCCTGTCGACTGGAGCACCGGAATTCATTTATACTATGGCATCGTAGACACCTATTGCTGTTTTTGGTTACATTTCCCGTTTTCGCCACCCGCGACCTAAGAGGCAGTTCGCACAATAAATCCCTAAAACCGTGTGGGATCAATATCGTCTGACAGGATGAATACGTGACCCTGAGCAGGCGCAGCGTAGCGCTTTTTCCGTGGAAATTACCCTTACAAGGGCCCTATCATGCTACATAACATACCGACCCAAACGCCCACCACGCCCGCCCGCCCACAAATGGACGACCGTTCCTGACGCTCGTATTGATTCATCTGCTAAGCAAATTATGAAGCGACGGTGGTACTGCTTGGATATATGAGTACACAAATGTAGCGGCTATTGGCAAGATGCCTATGGGAAACTCGTCCGAAACTGATTTTTGAGTCATTGAGAACGAAGGCTTTTTCTTCGCAGGATTTTGACCGTTTTACTCCGTTCTTCCGTTCTTTCGCCGTTAATGCCTTTCGCCCACTATATAGCGCCCTGCTAGCATTTAAGGCCCACTACCAAATTATCGTGCCAACTACCTTAAACAACATCGTGATTTGCGGGCGCGACGTCGCACGCGACGCTCACCCGTGCCTGAACCACCACCTCAGGAACAGGGTGCATAGGACATTAAACGAAACGGGAAAAATCAAAAAAAAATGTCAGCAACCGAAGCAGTTTTCAGCGGCAAATACGATCCCCTCACCGTTCGTCCAGCAACGAAATACGACCCCTATCGCTCGGGACCACTGAAGCACGAAGTGCACTGGATCCGATCTACGCGGTTGCTGTTTGGTTTGGAATGCGGCCTAGGCCAAGTATAGTTAGTGGCTTTGTCCTCCCAAATGAGCATACGGCCAATTATTTGGCTCTGGATGGAAGGCCTGATATTCCTGACAGAGCTTTCAGTAAATAAATAAATAGGAAGCGAATGAATAATAGATAATAATAGTACTGGTGAGCCGTAATATTTAATAAGTCTGCTTAGCCTGGGAGGGAGTCTATCCGGGATTTGACCGGACCCTGGTGATGAGAGCGCTACTTGCCACTACATCACCTGCCACAGTCCCACATCAGGGTCCACCTTGCGCTGCGGAATCCTCAGCAGTTGGATGGGCATCGTATTCCGGTTAGAAGCAAGGGCGAGTTGACCTCAATACTACCTGCATGGTTCATTTTTCCGATTTCAGGTGCATACCTCTGCAGCAGCAGAATGGATTTCTTCCCATGGTGATGAATTCACCTCCCTCCCCCCACTCCGTCTCTTCTGCTGGCTTGGGGAGGGAGGGAGGGGGGGGGGAACGGGACGGAATCACAGTGGAGAAAAATTTTCCTCACCGCCGTTGTCAGTCCTGATTACCTTTGCACTAATGAATACGGTTTGACCTGCATCGCCTGGTTCGGCGAACCTTGACGAAAACTGGGTCACGCGTAAATTGCTTTTCAAGTTTTTCGCAAAAGTTACTTCCACATCAGTTAAGCAATTAGTGAAGGGTCAATTCGGTTATCGGCAATCCTTTACAGAAAGTTCGAGAGCAAAGGTCGCGCCGCAGTGACAGGAATGTTCATTTTTACCCTCTCACGGGTGCTTGAATGATCAGATAGACCCCTTTCCGTGGCACGAAAAGTCGCTATTCCCTTCGAAGCCATTCAACCAGTTCAACGATTTTAGATGTGAGGCCAGAGCATGGCGTATTCCAACCAAGGCCAAGCTCCCACCATTTGAAAAGGCTATCTAGGACTCGACTCATGGAAGGTAGTGTTGTGAGGCCAAAGCAGTCCTGCCATTTGGGGAACTTTTTTGCAAAATACAGCCCTCTTCTGGTACGGATCTCCCCTTTCTATATGGCTCCTACCTTTTTTACCAGAGTTTCCCAACATCCACCCACTGTCCCCCCTCCCCAACAGACTGCAGGGCATGGTGAGAAAGGAGGTGCTCTCAAAACAGGAATAAGTCGGCAACAAAGAGTATTTTTCTTTTTTTAAAAGGCAGATACGACTCTAGCAAGCGAGGAAATAACTCCCACCCCATCCCCCCTCTTAGCCGGAGAAGGCTAAATTTTTTCAGACTTTACAAAGAATTCCCGCTACGGACCTTAACGTACAATTGTTCCCAGCTCGGGATCATGCACCCAGGCTAGAAACCTAATGTGTTG